TCTAACGCACCCTGTACCGCATTATGATTTGCTATTGTTCGGAGTCGAATAAACCTCGAAAACATTCGAACTTGACTTCTGAAGTTGCGCGTCACTCAACGATGGCCTGGATACTCGTACGGATTTGCCAGTAACCTCGGTTGGTTCTACTGTCTCACATTTTATTTAGTTTGGTTCCATACAAAAAGAAGCTTGCTGTATTCACACAGATGCTTGTTGTGACATTGAAGTCATGTGGTGGATTACCTATCACAAAGATACACGTGTCCAAGTAGAAAACTTAGTGTCTTAATAGACGATCCTCGAGTAAGTTGCTAGGATGGTGTGCGACAGCAAACTTTTGAAGACATATGTGGATTTTATTTCATCAAATGAGGTGAGTCAGCACCAATCCATAGATCTTTAATAGATTCTCACGTTTCAATTGAGCCGATCAGACCACTGCTTTAGGCGTATCCATCGGATACAGGCCTCCCCCAAAACACGAACATCCCTGGAAAGCCTCTTTTAACCAGGTTAGCCCGGGACAAGTCAAACACTGACGAATAGGTCACACAGTACAGTGCTTGCTCTGATGTCAAAATGAATAGGAGTGCACACATTGAGTCAGAAACAGGAATGAAAGCTAGCTGTGACGTTTGAAGATAGCTCAGACACAGAGACAAGACTATAAATCAAATCTCGCGTTTAAATTGAGTGAATCGTTCATTCTCAGAATGACAATTTAGCGTGGATTGTATCGAAACGAATTGCAGTCATCAGATGGAAAACAGTCAAAATGATTGTATGATAATATTTCCGGCCGGTAGCGATACAGTTGAGAGCGCGCGAATAGAGCTAAAGAAACACGATGAAGCACATGATACCTACGAAGTAGTAGGGTTTAAACCTAAGCATCATCTTAAAAATACCATTTTGAGTATCGTTACTCAATTCGATAATCACCATTGTTGAAATTGTCTAGCATTATTACGTCAACCGTTCACTACATGTGCGCAGAAAATCAGACGTGCAACATGTCCGTAAGATACGCTTGGACGATGGTAGGTAAGACGTAACATTCCCGCTCGACTATTTCGAGCAGGCTTCGACTCATCTTCTTCTCCAAGCAAGCTAGTCGAATAATGGGAGTTAACCGATGGTGATTTCAGAAAGTACAACATCCAGACATCCTTTATAAATGAACTAAGAAAGAAGACTAGTCACGTGTTTTCGATGGTCTCAATAGCCACTTGCTCTTAACTTGTATTCATCGTGTCTCAGAATTTGTTCAACCGGCTTCAAATCAAGTCTTACAGAACAGAGTTGCGATTAATTTGTGGTTGCCCTGAAAAGAGCAGTGACTACATCTTCTAATGGATTTAACTAAATTCTCATAAGCACCTCTGTGGCTCACTCTGATAAGGGACAAATATCACATGACTCCAAATATGAGTTACTTCATCCTGATTTCACGCCCGTTATGGAACTATATGCTACGTCTCACCGCTAACTGGCTCTGCCAATAGCCATAATGTACGCCACGCAATATTGGAGGCTATGGATAAAAGCGTCGACAACAAAACGATGTTGAAGCTCAATTACTCGACACCTCAAATGGCCATATGTGCAATGAACTGAACTAAGTAATTGCGTCCGTTCTTTACCGACCAGGGGTCTGAAGTTAGGAGAGGGGTAGAACAGATAGGGTCATATGATGTGTCAGTAGGTTCGATCAGTGAGTGCGCATGGTTGACCTTGACCTACGGTTTCTAATGTATGAAGCAGATTTGGAGGCTGAACTTCGTATGTCACTGTCAAAACGAACGATTAGGCGGCCGATCGTAGATAGGTGGATTGCGTGACGCAACTGCAATCTAATTATCTAGTCACTGAGTGAAGTGCTCATCAAAGCCAAATATAGAGGTTCGGGTTAGTTCTTACGACCATTAAACATGCACTTTCGTCCGGTGCTTTTGGTTTTATCTTTTGGCAGAAGGAAGATTGGAATGCTGAGAGCAGAGTCAAGGGGACGATAGATGATTTCTATAAACTGGGGTCTCAAGAAGGAAGAGTGGATGCACCAGTATCACTGTTTGCGCCACTCAACCATATCACTCAGTGTCTCTAACTACCGGTTACCATGATCTCGGGGTCCTCCTCCAGACAGACTAACGGTACCTGTATGGCCGAATCACCTGGTTAAGTTGATCATACTTTCATGCCAGATCTAAGTTTGACCGCCCTGGATTATTTCCCATCCACTGCCTGCTTTAACCAACATCGCGCGCCATTTAGATATAGTTGCCCAGATAGTCACATTTATCTACTTCCTCTATCACTTCTTCAGTCAAGGTGAGGTTGCGGGCTAGACCAACCCTATCATGTAGCAACATGTTACACTTTGAAGGTGCAAAACGCATACCGAAAACAGATACGCTGGCACTCAAGCTGTCCAGAAAGCCTTGCAAATTACCTGGATCTTCACTTAGTTGCACAATGTCTTCTGTATACCCAGATCAGACAGTCTGCCACCTGTGAGCAAATCGATACCGCCATCCTCGCAAGAGGATAGGGCTGTTTCAAAAATTAAGTTTATAACAAAAAACAGATGGAGGGCAATCCTGACGAACACCATTTTCCGCGGTTAAGTCGGGCAAAAAAGTGCCGTAAGCTCGGACTCGGTTTCGACTACTTGTATAGAGATCGCAAAAGTGAAATAAAATTATCAGACATACCTTTCACATTGAGGTAGTTCCGCAGTATGGAAGGGTCGACTGATTCGAAAGCCACTTTCAGATCGAGGAAGACAAAAATGGTGGGCCTACGAAATGAGTGTCTGTTGTAACATTTGGAGAAGTGAAAATGTGATCTATACAAAATCTATCAGATAAAAAACCATCGTGGTTCTCACGCGTACGCAGACAATCGATGAAACATAATACCAGCGAGGAATTTAGAGATAATGCTAATTAAGCTAATTCCTCTGTGGTTTCACAAGAGGATCTGTCACCTTGTTATAAATCGGTAAGATGATCGATTCCTAAGAGTCAGTTGCAACTTGTTCCCTCTCGCATACTGAGCCCATGAGTTTCATCAACTCTAAAACCAAGACTGAAACTCCATCCTTAAAAACCAATGCGGGCAGCCCGTCCGAGCTAGCCTTGTGTCTTCCGAGATAATTGATTCCCTGGGTAACCCCCAGTTTAGATGGAGGACTGATCTCAACTAGCAGTCGAAGTACGAATAAGAAGGTCTAGTGTCGACGGGGTCAACCAAATCGTGCCTTAAAATGTTTGCCAATCGCTCAAGGCATGAATCAGAATGCCGTCAAACTTCTTAATTATCGCCTACATCCTTGAGCTAGCACTCCTAACTAAAATAAAAGGATTGCTACTATGACTAATAACTTTAGCCTTCATCTCTCTACACGTCCCTACTCAACAATTCCAGCCGGCATTCCTCAAGCTCTTGATCAGCTAGCGTTCAAGGGATTTACGCGCGGTGCCGTATTTGACATCCAAAGGAATGGTTCAGAGAGCAGCAGCCTTCAATGAACCCTCGACAATGGCGGCTGATCGCGATGTGGTAGAGGTATGGGTACGGCCGATGAGCGATACACAGGAAACTTAATCCTCAAGGTGAAACTATTCATACAAACGGAATACCTACCTGGCCTTTTTCTGCCATTAGCATAGTTCTGGCGTAGATTACCCAGACTTCTGCCACTGACCTGTTTATCCGAATTTATGCATTAACGAATTCGCTTTTTTCAGCTGTAACTATAAATTCACCACGGTACGTTTACGCGACGTAGAATTCAATAGGGCCGGTGGGCCTGGGATCAGATGGATTTAAAACGTTTTACTAAAGTTCTGTCGAAATTGGAATCTTCTCGAGAGAGATAAAAACAACGACAGTCAGAGGAATATCCACTGCGGTTGAAGGCTACTTGTATGGTAACAACATGATTTTCCTGATATCAGAAAACGTGACAACACACTTGTTTAACGAATAGAGCAGGGTTCGTGGTTGTAACCACTTTTCCGATATTTGATCACTTTTAAACACCTAATGATTAGCAGACTAATGCAATAGTGGCGAAGTTCTCAATTTATGAAGTAACCCACAACGCGAGTGAATGTATTGTCTTAAAAGGACCATATTCACCGAACGTGGTGGGTCTGAAGCCGATAAGTAGACAAGCATTTATGCCTTCTTGCCAGAAAATTGAACAATTACCCAACGGCTGTCAAAACAACAATGAACAAAGTGAGATTGGCTAAAAAAGGTATGGCTCAACTTTCTGAAACGTACTATGCATGACGACTGCCCAGTGTTTTTAATATCCTTGACTGGTAAAATTTATACTGTCATTAGAAGTTTTATCTCATTCGTACGACTGTATTTGCGCTCTAACGTTTCAGTATTTTGACAAGTTTTAAATCGTAACTTATGAGCAGTATTTTATTAAGTGCATGATATGTTTTGACATTTTTTTAACCCATGCCCCGGTTTGAAGATGAATAGTGAAACCAAAAGGCTTGGGTTACAAGTAAAAAGCTTTAGTGTGGATTAAAATCATCAGGGAAATGGAATGGCGAATTTTATCTTAATGTTACTACGATGGTACCTTTTCTCTGACTTTGATCGGGATGAAAAGTTTCATTTTAAGTATGGAAAAACAGATTGCTTGCTCAAGGCAAAAGGGTGTCGGTATACATTACTTAAAAGTTCAATAAATAATAAAGCTTAAATTGTTTCATATAAAATACCTGAGGTGATTGTTTCTTAAGTGTTTGATTATGAAAGAGCATTGGGGATTTTCGATTGTTCACATAATTTTGAAAAAAACAGGCGGAAAAAATGCCTACGTAGTGAACAATTGACATCAAAAACTGAATGTGTTGATTGTTTTTCAAGCGTAGTGGAACAGAAACATTTCATCAACTTCTGAATGTTGGATAAAGAAAACTGTTCTGTCTTGGATACGTTAGTGACAAGTGATCCTAAAACACACATCAGGCTATGGTTTCTTCTGTATGATGCAACGCATAAAAAGCCCCTTTGGCTTCTATGAGAGCACCAGGCGAACCGGCTTCAATCTTTCTCCCGTTCTCGAGTACAACAATCAGGTCAGCATTCTCTACGGTGGTCAAGCGATGTGCGACCACTAGGCAGGTGCGTGAACCCATGGCGATATCTAATGCGTCCTGGACGACTCTTTCACTTTCCACATCTAGTGCAGAGGTAGCTTCATCTAGTAGTAGTAGGGCTGGTTTGCGTAATAATGCACGCGCGATTGCCACGCGTTGTTTCTGACCGCCTGACAAACGCGACCCACGTTGTCCAGCAGAGGTGTTGTATCCCTGAAAGACAAAACGCATCATTCAATAGCTAATGTCATTCATGGGATTGACAAAAAAACAAATATATACATATAACGTACATATGAAAGAATGCTTTTTAACCCGAGGATGTTTACGGCACAGACATTGCATTTTTTTACTCCCGAAGCACATGACCCAGTCGCAGCGGAACTTTCATCAGTTAGGAACAGTATACAGCATAACATACAAGACACATTTGTGCACTTGATTTCCCTTTGAAAATGAATCTCTGAATTACCACGTATTAAAAGCAATCAACACCTGGTAAATCCGGTCGATTACTCGATTAGTTGAATATAACTGTACCGGTTCGACTATCATTTTCAAAGCAACGGACCTGGTTTTATTGGGTGAATATCTTTTGCGTAATATAATATTTGGAGTGAAATGGGAAAATTATTAGTAAAATTAAAATCTCTGATCAAATATAGGCACGTATATGCTGAAAATATCACAGTATAGCCAGCTGATACCCAGTGGTCTTACCTCTGGAAGAGAAGCAATAAACTCATGTATGTTTGCCATTCGTGCAGCCTCAATGATCTCATCCATGGAGACATCACGAGTATTGTCTCCATAAGCAATGTTGTCTCGAATGCTCAAATCGAACAAATTGGGCTCCTGGGAGACAATACCAATCTGGCGTCTGACCCAACAGGGTGAAAGCTGCTTCAAATTCCATCCATCAAAGAACACGCCTGAATTGACTCCCTTATCCATGGGATCATAGAACCGCTGGACCAGCTGCAACAGTGTCGATTTCCCACATCCAGATTGGCCGACCAAAGCCACAGTTTCACCGGGTCGAACAGTGTGTGAGAAATTCTACGAGGACATGAAGAAAATTTGGGGTGAAGTTTATTTACTCTTTCATTCTCCAGTGGGCGTGTTGAACAGTAGTGCAAAGGTAAAATTATTTTCTCTATATATATATTATTATACTCAGCAGCCAGTATACTAATGAAGTTCAAAAATTATCCGCCATCGTCAAGCGTACATCAAAGGGATGTGCAGTCACAATCGGTAAAACCAGTTATGGGCACACTAAAACCACATGAATTTAATTTTTCTAAAATTTATTCTATTGTTTATTACGGAAAATAATGGAACGATCACTTTGTTTTGTGGCATATTTTCCTTACAACAGTTTATCATGCAATGTTCTCATGACTGGACAGGGATACGCTCATACATAAACATTTATATATTAGAGCTCAAAGAAGGAAAATTTTGGTTCATGAACCAGGAGAGTTGTAGAACACAACTATTTGCCACTTTCATGCAGTGAAATATACGCAACCTATTTCGCTTCAACACGACTGTACATCAGTGCATACCGTTGAAAAAAGACTAAGTGCGGATTTCCTCAGTTCAGTCGAAACATGCACCGAAATTCATAGTTATTTTTTTCACGGTCTGAAACTGACGTTCACTTTTATACAATCGACTTGTGATGATACTCACATGGTTGTTCATGGAGTTGAATTTCAACTGTGATCAGACCTGATATTTCTGAATAAAAGCTATGCTTTTGATGTGCATACATAGAATTACTATTTTATTAAATTGTACAGGATTCTGCATGCTTTTCTGCGACAAAGAGCAGTAGGAAGTGATTGTTTAAGATATACCGGTTTGATTGCGGTTCAAAATGACCGATTGCGTCTTTCCTTGCATCGGGAACGTATTCCACTCCAATGAACGAATATTAAAAACCTGGAACTGAGCTACTCGGATTCTTCGAGCAAGTCGTATACATGATAGGGAAATCTGCCAAGACTATCCCATTCAAAAAGTTTCCTAATCGCTAAAGACAATTGCACTTCACTAGTCAGTTCATGCGACGTAGCTTCCAGTCCACCTGGAGCGCTCAGTCAATCTTAAGTGTTTTATGCGTCTCCCGTATTGAGTCCTTCGGTTTTTCTGTGGCAGCGTACTAATTCCAACTTCCATTTCCTGATACGACAAAATGGCTCGCTTTGTAGGGCGGATAATGACCTTTAATTTGTCATGACCGGCTATATGACGCTGCAACTGAAAGTGTGTGTTCTAATCACATTCACTGTAGTATCACAGATGCACGCGATCTATCCGAACCGCAAAATATATTGGCCACCGGTTCACCAAAAGCATCTGGCAGGTTGGTTATAGCTGTTTCTTTTGTGACAGTGGTTACCAAATCACCGCGATTCATTTTACACCTACATTTAGCTTATTTGTCCCCATTTTGGACCAACAGGAAACTAACTGAAAATTTCTCTGATGGTTCGTTGTTTATCGTCTTTCGTTGTTGGAGTGCAAAACAGGAGCAAGGAAACCAGCAATACGACGAAGATGTGATCAAAAGTCCAGTAGGCATTCTATTAATTCGTACATGGCCTACCAGTAGACAAGTGTTTATGAAATTTCATTGGACGCGGTTGAACAGTCTATTATTAGGTCTACTCTGCGATAGTTTTCAAGTTGTCCCTGTCCTGAATATCATTGCATGTGCTGAGAATTGAACAGTGCTTCATGTGGAGATTCTGCCTACGGTCACGTTTTTTACCCTCTTTGATTACACTCCTCAGCCTATGCGTCGATAAACCCTCGATTGGTTTGCTTCCGAGGCAAATTTTGCCAATTCTCTGTAATGAGTTACGCGTTGAAGCACAATAACATGCGCAACCATATTTCAGCCGGGGTTAGATGTGCTCTGTGGCCTTTGCGACTCAAGCCACTTATGGTCGTTTGTCTACAAAACCGTTTCGGACGAGACAGCCCGATTGTGAAACCTGGTCTTGTAAAACTAAATGCAAATGTATTTTAACTTCCTGTTTTATTTATTGAAAATACAAATGAACAATAAACTTTGAGAAGGGGGGCCGAGGCCATACAAAAACTGTATGGGAAAATATTCTCCGTGATGATCTCTAGAGTATTTGACATTAAGGCTAAAACAGGCCAGCTAAGGCTTAACAACCACCATTAGCTAAAAATGCTCGACTGAAGAGTGAGTAAGATAAACGCCGAGGTCAAATCACGTTAGTACTATATCAAATATCTGAAATGCATGTAGTAAGTGAGGCAAGCGAAAGTCCATAGCTATACTCCCGTATCTACACAAAAGAAATGGATGGTTGACCCCTTGGCAACTACATGGTGGAGGCGGTTTTAATCTGGTAGGGAAAATTACTTACGAGAAAAGAAACAAAACCCGATACCAGACTTCTAGAAATTCTTCTGATCTCTCAAAAATCTCTAGTGCGAGTTTTGGGAAACTATCTCTTTATAATCGCGTGGATGCTTCCTCCTCTTGAATACCACAGCCAGTGTGTCCCGATCTCTTCCCCTGAATATCGACCGATGTCACATTGAAATCTATGTTTGTGGTACAAGGCACAATATTGCTTCCGCCTTGAGTGATTGAGATATTAACAACTCACGTGACAGAGATCAAATTACAATCTGCATGCGCATCCGTGATCGAAACCAGAGCTCACAAATCAATTAATTAAAAATATAGTATTTAATAGTTAATTATCACACGTGTGTCTAGCACAATATCATAGTTGTGCAATCCATACCGTAAAGATGAGCTACTGTAAACTAATAAAACATCCTTCCTGTAGCTACAAAAAATTCTACAACACTTCATTACTTTCAAAGTGAAAAACATCGTTCGAAATTGGGGTTACCTTTAAAACTTGAAGGTTTCTGCGGGTCGGATAGCTGAAATATAGACGTTTAAATTCAACAGAACCCCGAAACGGCTCTTCCGGAACAATTCCTTCGTCCGTGAGTATACTGGGAACACGATCCAGAGTTTCCAGAATCGTCTTGGATGCTACTTGTGCGCGCCGAATTTCTGGACCCAACGAGGCTGTTCGTCCCAAAGACTGAGCGCTCATATTCAAAACCGCAAACACTCTGTTACACAGTGAAGTGTCACACAAATAAAATAAGTGAATGAATGAATCGACATTTAATTTCGTGATATAGATATTGGTTCAATGAACAGCGAAACTATAATGAACATCATGGTAGAGAAGATTATCATAATCATAAGAAGCGGGAGCCTAATCTGGGAATTGGGTCCTAGTAGCAATTCAAGTTGAGCTTGTGTAAACAATATGCTTCCTTGGGAAGCGCAAAAACTTAGATCCTCTCACTGATACCAAATATATATTTGCACCTGTTTGAGAACAAGCATGGCACCAACGCCACAACGACGAAAATAAAGAGATGGCAGTTTTGGTGTTTTTTTTTATGGGATGCGAAATTTCACAAGACAAACCGTACAGCATTCACATTACTATCTCTATTTTGAGGCAGATCTCTCAACGTCTTCCTAACCCATGATCATCATCTCTTACGACCCAACGAGAAAGGGGGCAAAACTAATGAGGTCAACTAATTCATACTGTCGTTTTTGCCAGCCTCGCCCATCGCACTCAAAGTGAGTAAACAGTAGACGATGAGCAGATATATGCAAAAATGTCCGAGCCTTAGAAGCAGATGCATAGTGATTTTCAGTTTATAAAGTCATAGCGTTTGCAGACCGGTGTTACGGTTTCCTTGTTGTTTTCGGCGATTAAGCGAATAACGAACAGGTGAGAAAAGCAGAAGTTAAATTTGTAGACGTAAATCAATGCATACGAAGTCGGGCCACGCCATGACTTGACAACCTTTCAGTTTGTTACAACCACTACCCACTGATTTAGAAACATGCCGTGGAACTCATTCCAAAAACCGTAGCAACGAATATCTCAAACATTTTCATCGACAGAGGTATTGGGTTACGAAGACAAACGAACGGCGTGCACAATTATTGTGACCATGCATACGAAAACCAACAAAGCCAGCCAGCTCATTCCATGGGGTTAAATAGCATCGACTTGGTTTTAGTACAGCTGCAAAAACAATGAAACCTATCAGTTCATCCATGTCGAATGAAAGAGGTG